AAAAAGATGTAAGCAAACGTTAGAAATTCCTCAATTCATTTGTTCTTTTCGCGTGTGTGACATCATTGTTCGCAGTGGCTTGGTTAAGGGATGGAAGACGACGTGCATCTGAACCGGTCCTGAGGGCAAAACTGTTTCCCCGTTTCTCTCTAAAGTCCCCGGCTACGCAGAACTTGACGTCGAAAGGGACAATTCTCAGAACCCGCACAATTCCAGGAAACACACGTAGCTAGGTTACCATTCTCACTTACTACAAAGACTTGAACGCCAAACAATAATCGATTATCGCTCAAATCGGGATCACATGATTGTTCAGAAGCAGAACTTTCGTCTGATTGGTTGTTTCTACCTGGGACCGAGACATTTTCGGTGAGGTTTGAAAAAATCGCGTGTAGCCACAACATTGCTTTCGTAGCTAAGCGGGACTTCACTTCAGGCAGGTGGTTTTTTCCTAGGAATCCTCCCGTTATACCGGTGCTACCAAAATCTCGTTTCTCAGAAAAGTCCTGTCTAGCAGGGACTGTAGCCATATGTGATAACCTATAGCCCATATCACACGGCATTTGTTTCACACGAACAACTGTTTCCGACAATTTTTCTACTTGGCTTACTATTGAAAAAAAGACGTGCGACTTTTTCCTTCCTTTCCAAAAAAATTGCAAATTGTTTGTTTTCAACCAATCAGCTATCAGCTTGTTTCTAATGGGGAACCAGTTTTCCCTGCGTTAACCCCAAAGCGATCTATGGTGATTGGCTGTTGCGACAAAGCACAAAAATTGTTCTAAACAGTTGTTCTTCCGAAACAAACAGACGTGTGATAGCAGCCTTAGTTCCATGCTGGCAATGAGACGTTGTCAATGATGACTAATTAATCTTACAATGTTATAGTTATCCAGGCAGATGTTGTCTGCTATTTACTTACCTCAGCCTGGGATAGAGCCAGCAAAGTAAACAACATTTATTTCTACATAAAAAATTACACAGCCATGTAAATTTTTTGTGTACAGAAGTTATTACAATTATAGTGCTTGTATAATATTGCAATTACCTTAAAAATAATAGACTATATTTTTCATGTCATACATTTTTGTTTTTTATGTACCTATGCTTAAATACATACGTACACTGCATATTAATTCTGATATAATACAAAGAGAATAAATAAGTTAACATCGTAATAGGAAGAAAAGTAATACAAAAGCATTTGTAGCTAAGCAAATGAAGCATATGCTCCAAAGAAAGCTTTTACTTGTTGCTCAAAAATGCAGGGTGGCCCTACCTGTAAATTTTTAATATATACAAGTGACATCCGTTTATATATATATATACAGTATACTTTTATCGAACGTGGGGTCACGTCATTAATACATTGCATGTACAGCAAAGTCGTGTCTGTGTTAAAAAAAGTGTCTTAGGTTCAGATTAAGCCACTCAAGCGGTTAGTGACTCGGACTACCGTCCGAAGGGCTTGGTTTGGAATCCCGGACAAGGTATGGATGTACATTGCCTGTCCCTTCATGGGAGGCAATGGTGATCCATCTATTAGGTGCTTCCACAATAAAATGCCCATTTTGCAGCATTATACAGATTACTATAATCCTCTGTATATACATTTCTTTTTAATGCTGCGTGCCGAAAGTTTGTCCTGGGTTCGAACCCATTCCAGTTGGCTGGCTGCAAGGTTTGTTTTCCACATGTGTAATGCTAATATGACCCAGTTTTCTTTAGATAGTCCTCCATGAAGGCATCCCTCCTCTTACGCAGAAAGTCCTCATTAGCTTTATCAAATTCCAATAAACGACAAAAGTACTTCTCATTTTCATATTCTTATCAGAGCAAAATAAAAATAAGAACATTCTTAAGGTATCAAGAAGGGCAAATACCACAAAAAAGTGATTACAGACACAAGCAAAAAGACAGTTTTGGCTAAATCAAGACCAAGAGAGAAAGAGTGACAAAAAGACGTAAATGCACAGCAAAATCTTTTAAGTACTTATGGCTTCTAATGTCTAAATCCAGCCCTGCTACTATCAGATTAAGAATGGCTTCCAAAGACTTGCTCAGTCACCACATTTAATCGTGCTTGACTATTCCCTCTAGGAAGCTCCCAAAGATCAAGCGGATGGGTAATAGCAACATATGTCTTCAAACCATTATTCAGTTAAAATACGAAATTTAGAAATGTATGCAGTGGAATTTTCAGGCAAAGTTTCAATGCACAATAATGTCTTTGAGATCTTAAGCTGAAATAGTGTATTTTATGTATTCAACAGCAAAGGGGTCGCTTTCCCAGAGATATTCAAAACATAATGGTATCTTAACAAATTTAGTTTCTGCAATAAATGTATGAGAAAAATACATATTTTCACTTCCCATAGCTGTTTTATTCTTTTTCAAAAACTGTCAGCTGCTTTTGAGTAAGTAACCCACAATGTGAAAAAGTGCCTTGGAGTATTTCTATTCCGAAGACAATTTAATTATCTCTTGCTCAGTGAATGGGTCATATCATTAATATTATGCTTTACTAGAAACGACAATTCTTCAAAGAAGTAACTCGTGCAGCAATTTCATCTTGGTGCTTGCCAAATACCCGCTCTCACCAGATGATGGTCGTACCAGAAATTTTAAATTATATTAAGTATCTCTATTTCAAAGACATGACAATCATAAACATCTTATCGTCCAAGATTTGAACCCAAGCACAACGGAAAAGTAGTTAACCACAGTGGCAACATTCAGCCAGCTCACCACAAAAACTTCTAAAAGGAATTTTAGTTTAGAGAACCAACTGCTGAATTACCATATTTAGGAAATTTTTCCTTGTTTAATTTTATTTAGATATAGTACTTGTTAAATGTTTAAATCTCACCGCTGATTAAATTCCATTAACCACCAAAGTCCTAGCTCTCAAAGTTAAACAGCACTTTTTCTAAACGAAAAATTTAAAAGAGGAAAAAAAATTAACATTTCCCCCCCCCCAATTGCTTCATTATTTCAACATAGTGTTGCACAAAAAAAGGAATGTATATCATTCAAATGAGTAGTAGTCTGGAATGCGTAAATCGGTATGAAACCTTTTCACTGCTTATGAGTAGCCCAGAGATTTCAGTTATAGTAGCTACATCACAGTAGAACATGCAACATCCTATTTTTGACATTCAGCATTGTTGTGAACATATAACATATTTTCTATTGATAGTTTAAATGCTCCAAATGTCACAGCAATCTCTCGGTAAAAGACTGTACTTGAACAGTTCACACGTTATGCATAATTGCCTTAGTTTTGGAGGAGAAAATCAATTGGCTATCTCTACATAGCAGGAAATAACAAGAGCATGAGAAGGTCAATTCTTCAGAATCCTTCCACAATGTGAAACTTTACAGATTAGCATAGAAGAAATGTGATTCTAACCAGATGGAGCCACAATTCACATTGACAAGGTCTTTGATGCACATTGTTAAAAACGTGTTTTCTCACCATGTAATCTTAGATCTTTGCAATATTTATTGATCTCCATTATCACCAAATTGATCTGTCTGTAATTTCTTTCTGTGGTGTCACTTAAAATCAAAAGGTCTTAAAAATTTTCAAATCTTGTACAGTAGATGAGCTGAAAGTTGCCATTCACGAAGGAATTTTACCTTGCCAAAAGAAATGTTGACAAGTGCAATACAAAATTTTGACGAAAGCCTCTAATGTGTGTACAGTCAAAAGTCGTTAATTTGGACACCCATAATCCGGACTTCAAAGCTACAAACTTTCTGCACATGCGTCGCGTCGACGCATGTGCGCAAGACCTTTATGGCTGCGAATATGTGTGTGTGCATGCGCATAATATGTTTACGCATACGCGTTTAATGTATAACGGAAGGTATAAGCTAAGCTAAAATTATCTAATTCAGTTACTGTTGCAGATTGCGTTGTTCCTTAATCTTCGAATTGGATCCGGCTTATTATTTTTTGAAGACTCTTAGAGCAATTTTATAAAAGTAAGCTTGAACTTTCGATTATGTCAAATAGAATTTCTTATATATATTCACTAATATGTAAAGGATCTACAAAGTGAAAGTATGTTTCGAAGTCCATCAAACAAAAAGTGGAATTGCTGCAAAAAATGGATAAAGGCATATCCTTCGTTTCTCTAACCATTCTGAAATCTGTTTATCAATTTCACGCTTTGGGGGAGGACGCGGCGGCGCGCAATGAATTGGAAGTTGATCTGTCAGCACTATCCTTATCTTCAGGACAGACGTTTTTATTTTATTTGGCTTATAATTCCTTACTAAATGTAGTATTTCATCTCGATGTACTCCGTCTTTGATATGATTTAAATCAAATTTCTCGTCATCATAATTCGCTTCCGATAGTGAAGAAAGTGACACAAAGGTTATTGAAAATGAAAAAATTTCTATTGACAAATTAGTTGGTATTCTCGACACAGCAATTATAGGACTTGAACAGCGGAACTTTGTAACTGAAGAAGAAATTATGTCTGTTTATTGAATTAAGGAGAAAGTATTAGCACAAAAAACGAAGCAACTTAATCAACTTACATTGAAAGAAATGTTTACTAAAGTAAACAAATAAATATTAAGCCTTTCCTTTTTGTAAATTTTGATACCCTTTAGATCATAAGTGTTCTTTATTTCATAAATAACATTTTCAAATTTTTAATTTTGTAATTTCTGCATGCCATCTTACCATATTAAACTGATGATCTATAATCCAGAAAAATCGATAATCCGGAATCGCCGAAGTCCCAACGATTCCAGATTAACGACTTTTGACCGTATACGCCTTCATTATGACCGTTGCTTCAACGTAACACAAGCGGCTAATGGGTTACAAAAAGTGTACACATACAGTTCTAACTTTTTAGCAATTCAGTGAACATTAAATAAACTCACAGTTTATCAAAATAAATACCTTATGTTTACCAAATGGAACTAAAGTAAAAGCCTCTATCACAAAATTGGATTACAATAAAAGAACATTAAAATCAAAGCTGAAAATATAACTTTACTTTCACATATGACTAATATTACAAAGACATATATATATACAAACACTCAAAAAGAAAGACATAATCTATAGTCAAAGAAATGACTACATGCATCTGGAATATTTATATAATATCATACAATGAAAATCAGTGCAATATAAATTACTAACGCTAATTACTTCAGTTAATTTATACAAACAAAGAAATGAAATATCATAAGATTTGACTTTTTGGAACTTTTTCTTTATCACAAATAACATATTAATGTTGGAATAACATTTTTTTTTTACATATCATTGCATAATTACAACCATAAGTTTATAAAACCCTACTTGTACATACATTCTTAATTTCAGATATTTCAAGAGACAATTTCTAAAACTATACAAACATTAATCTTGAAACAGAAATTACTTTGTATCAGTTACTAATATACAGCATCATTATTTATAACTTCCAATCAACCAAACTTTTCACAAAGAGTCGATATTAAAAATTAAATATTTATAACCAAAAAATCATAACATAAATTTAAGTATTAATAGTCTTATCTTTATATAAATCAAAAAATTAAAGTAACCACTGATGGTGAAATTAATATTTTGACTAAATTTGTAATGCATATGCAATAAATTCCCACTAATTTGAACTCACAGAGTCCAGCAGAACACTTAAAATATATCATGTGAATTGTAAAAAATATTCCAGAAATAAGATTCCTAGTAATTTTTGGAAATTTTGTTGGAATAAACAGAGTACAGAGTATTTGCATACACAGCAGTTCCTCAAATATATTCTTAAAGAGATATTTTGTTAAAATGTTTGTTTATCTTGCTCTCAATTGCATATATTCACCAATAATTAATGAGTATTTGGGCTCAATTTTGGTGACAGAAATAGATTAGCAAATATTTATGCTTAAACTTAGTATTTTGTACTTCTAATGTAACAATGAATGTATTTTCATCTAGCTATGGCTGCAGCATTACATTATCGATCTCGTAAAAAAAAGGGCAAAAAGGAGGGGACATTCAAAATAGCACTGAAAACTGATCGGTTTTAAAAATATGCTAAAATGGTTACCTTTTTGACTTGAGAATTCCTAAAACTATTTACTAAAATTTGAACAAGATGCTCACGCTTTCATATTTCAAAACATTTTCCAAAAATAAATTGTAAAATCATACTAAATTTATTAAATCTGAAATCTATAATCTTATAATTGCACTAGAGTATTTTGCTTGATCACCTGTCACCACAGCAAGAGGAGGGGAAATGGCATTACGATGTCTAGTTGCCACATTTGCTGTCATCTAAAACTGAAAAACGAATCATTGCTTAGATAGAAAATCACAAAGAAAGCATGGCACTGCAGCGAGAATTATATCATCAATTGTGTAAAAGTGACTTCCCGGGTTGCAGAATTTTTTGACAGTAGATGCTATGTCTTGTTAGAAGTTCAATGGATTATTTTGATTGGGCAAAGGTATATAATCTACAATGTCTACTGATCTATAATCTTATACAAACAAAAAATAGCACAAAAATTTTTAATTTAACTATAATAAAACTACATCTGGTTAGTGATTCAGTTTAACATATAGAAGCATACATATCAGTCTTCAAATGTATCAAATATTTCCTTAAAATCTTCATTAAATATATACATCATCATACAGAGCTTTTTAACTTGATGTAAACTTTTAATGCCTTTGATTTATAATAGCATAATGCTGTTAAAAATATTGAGGTTAGAATACAGGTAAATATCATATAGATAATACATCTATAGGACACCATTTAAAGCATAATGCTGTTAAAAATATTGAGGTTAGAATACAAGTAAATATCAGTACCTCAACACATTAAATATCAGATAAATAATACATCTATAGGACCATATAACTTATGATAAGACTACAGAAATTGTAAAAGTCTGCAACAATAATTAAAGGAGGAAGTAAAAGAAAAAAAAATAAAACAAAGATATTCCTGGAAATATTATTTCAAAGTATGAAAGAAATTTATTCACTATCAACACACAAAACTACAATAAAAATTTCAGATTTTAAAATCAAATCATATTTTAAAAAATAATATGTTCACAATCTCAACTTCACCCATTGCATTATGACAAACTACATGACTCTACAGTTTACCAATCTGAAGAATGAATAAAAAGTTATAATCCTATAGATGGGAGGCACCACTTTAGACATCTTCAATAAGCAGATGACACCAAAAATTTATTACAACATTTATTAGTTTGCTATTCAGTTCTTTCTTTTACGTTTGGCACAAGGATGTTCAAAAATGCACTCTCCATTACTGAATTTATGATTTTCAACATCATTTGCACCAATAAATTGCATCTGGCGTCATGATGGTAAACATTCTTTTAAAATTTTCTTCGAAGTATCTGTTAAATTATCAGGAAATTTTATTCGAAATGTAACAATGAGATCGCCTCTTTTGGAATTGTCTTTGGTTAATGGCAGTCCCCGACCAACAAATCTCTGTTCTGAGTCTGGACGGATTACCTCTAGAAGGGTAAAAGGAATCTTTTCTCCTGTAAGAGTGGGTATTTCAATTTCTGCTCCGCATAAGGCCTATGGAAGAAAAATACAATGGAATTTAATTTTCCAAATTATTATTGTATATAAATACTGTTAACATTCAGGTTTCAATACATTGGCAAGTTCTGGACTTGAAAATAAAAGGGGGAGACAGGGATGAACTGAAGAAAAGGATTAGAAATTATGGCAATTTTATAGCTTTTGATTAGAAGAGTTAATGTTGATTCTGGTCCGTTTTCATATTCCTTGATGCAAAGAGTGGGAAAAGCTAAAAAGACTTTTAATTTTTAGTATACTGCTAACATTAGCAACTAAATTTTCTAGCACACAAAAATGACAAACTGGTAATACACAATTTATGCAAGTTTTGAGTCTCACACTATCTTTTAATAAATTTTAAAAGCTCCAGGGAGCAACTAAATTTGTGCTCTCTTTCTACACTGAACAGTCAAAATATTATGACCACCTACTCACTAATGCATTATGTAACCTTTGGCCTGTAATACAGCTGCAACTCACCTTGCCACTGATGCCACAAGTTCCTGGTAGATGGACACAGGCTGTATTAACCTTTTCCCGGGGGCTGGGACATATATGTCCTGCACGTTCACTACTTTAAATGTGTCAAGAAATTTCAGTAATTTATGGAGATTTAAAATTAACTCCTTAATATGGATTAGGAAGTGCAAGATCCTGTCGATTTGTTTTTCTGTTCCTTTCAGTTAAAATAAGTGACTAAATGGCCAAAATACATTCGAAATTGGACCCTATAGCCCACGGGAAAAGGTTAAATGTCTAAGCAGCGGTCACGCAAAGTCAAGATCTTCCGATATGGTGGTGTTTGAACTCTGAGCTGCTGCTCCATGATATCCCAAATGTGCTCCATCAGGTAAAAATCCAGCGAGTCAGAAAACCAGGACATTAATTGGAATTCACACTTATGCCCTTCAAACCACTCCAACATAATCCGAGCCTTGTAAAATGGAAGAATGCCCTGCTGGAAGATTGAATTTGCAGTTGGGAAGACAGATACCATGTAAAGATGCAACTGATCCACAATTATGTTCAAATAGTCTGCAGTTTTTATGGTCTGTTCTACAACTAAGGATCCCGGGGACGCCCATAAGAAAGTTCCCCAAAGCATAATACCAAAGCCACCATCAGCCTGTGTACGACCTGCTGTACAGGGAGAAGGAACAACTGTTTGCCTGGAAGACAGGATACCCTGACATGGCCATCGACATGATGAATGAGAAATCGTGATTCATCCAACCAGGCAACCATCTTCCACTCATTCATGGTCTAGTCTCGATGTTCCCAGACCTATTTTTCTTTTCTTTGCTCTGCCAGGAAAGGTGCTTATCAGCCTGTTTAGGTCCCATCAACGGCTAAAATCATTTCATAGTGCCTTGGATTAAGTTCCCCAAAGGCTTATTCTGACTGAAATTCTGATTCTGAAGAAAAATAAAATAAAATAGAAAATGAAGGGGAGTTGGTGAACTAATTTGAAAACATAGGCGAGATGAGAAGATACGTGAATACAGTTCTATATAAGTGCCAAAATTTTGGAAAGCCACATGACATGCAAGCATGGCACTACGGCGAGAATTATATCATGGCTTCGAGTGTTGGAAATCAGAAGTGAAATGTTAGCGCATTCCTTAATATGCTTAGTGGCATATAGGTTATTAGAAGTTTTTATAGCCCAAGCATAGAAGTGTTCATTAGCTGGCTTCCGAAGGTGAAATCTGGCTGTTTCCCGGCAATCGAAGATATAATGATCCGAGGCTTCAGCTGCTCTGCTGATGCACTGCTAACTGTCACAAAGTCTGAAGCAGTTTAAATGACTCAGGAGTCATGACCAGCGAGAATTGCATTAACTCTGCTATTCTGCTCTCGACTTCCCTGCTGACTCTAGGGATGTATTTATACACTCTTCTTCCTGTGGAGTCCTTATTCCAGCTAGTCCGCCATTGTATCATGAAATGACAATTTGTTGCGGCCTTCATATGCGAGCTTGGGGCTTGCAACCCAGACCCATTGTAGACATAACTAACAATGACACTTGGTCAACAGAGGCACACGATGAGTGGGACACCTGCTGCACAGTCCCATATCTTGCAGTGGCCGCTGAACTGTATGCTCTAAATCGCTTGCACTTGGACCTGCACTGTATTGGGCTGTCGGCTGAGCCACTAGCTGTGCCGATTTTGCTGTATTAAGCGGGAGAGTCTCCGATGTCCTTTTTCTTTGAAGATGTGCATATGCCCAATACCTAGGCATCTGCTGCCGGTTTCACTGTTATTTATCCACTCTGCATAAATACTAACAATGGCAGATCGTGAACAACCTACTAGTAGTTCAGTTTTGTAGATACTCGTTCAGAGTGTCCGGGCCATTAGGCCATTACAATCTGCCCTCTATCAAATTCACCTAGATCAGCAGCCTTTCCCATCACTCACAAAAATAAGTGCAAGAATGATTCCTTACCTTCTCCAACAGTAGTTAAATACCATCACAGTTATATGCCTTACATATTATCCAAACGAATTCATTGAAAAATGTGGGGATGGTCACAATGTTTTTGTCTCATCAATGTATTTAAAGATCAACAGAAACATACTGTCATGGAAGTGTCTAGTTAATTCCAGTTAAATATTTAAAGAATTATTACAAGATAAAAATTTTTACTAACAACAAGCAGAATGAACTACATTGTATTTAATATATGTATCAAAAACAAATTTACATAATTTTAGTTATTTTATAGTTTAAAACTGGGGGAAAAAAAAACCTCAAATGATATCAAGTTTTATTCTTCAATATTTCAAAAACTTAATGCTACACTATTCTCAGCTAATATAAAATATAGGGTATTAAAACTTAATGCTACATTATTCTCAGCTAATATAAAATGTAGGGTATTACTACATACTTCAAATAAATAAGAGAAGTGACAGTACCTTTCACAATAAACAGTATTTACAGCAGAACTAGGACTACATTCCACTGATAATAAACAGAAAAGGCATACAATTAACTTCTTAAGTTGAACTTTCAAGAGTTAAAAAAGGTGAGGGGGGGGGAATTAATGAAACATAATATGAAGAATCTCTTTTGCATCACAGAAAAACTCAAAGTAAACTATTTAAACTAGCATTTAAGTGTACTACTGCCTAATTCACATAAGCAAGTGAAAGATGTGCATTTCACACAACAAATGAAAGACTAGCACACCCTCTTGTAGACTACTGAAGTTGTTTCTCTTTTCTGCTACAACAATGATTGTAATGTAGAAATCTTCCATGTAGTCTATGGGTGTCTAATACAACAATGATTTTATGTGCCCTTAAAAGAAATCCAGCAGATTCAGCTCTAGGAAACATACAAGGTAGGTCACAGATCCACCGTGTTCAATCCTTGGCCAGTATATAAGTATTCACAAAGCATCAGATTTAAGTGGCAAAGTGTTCTTGAGCTCTATAATGCATAAAGCATATTCTTTTCTGAGAAGAGCAGAACTGCCTGCAGCAAATTTGGAAGTAGCTGATTTGAAAGGTAAGGAGTGTTTTGCTAGCCAGATGTTCTAGCAACAGGTAAGGACTCGGCAGGTAATCATCAAGGAAATCTTAACAAATGCTCACTATAAATCTTTATTGGTGATTACAAGGTCAGAGACATGACGATTACTTTCAATGCAAATATATTCATTGCGACTGTTGAAAATGCCCACTTGGTAAATGAGGCTGCTAAATAACATGAAGGCAGAATACCGCCAGTTATTGTCTGAAGTTCCCCACCCCCTCCCAAACTAGCAGGCAGGTATATTCATTTAAAGACTGAAAATTTTCTGCAGGGAAGAGTGGATGCATGCCTCATATATAATATTCTGTGCCGTATTGTGACAAACACCAATGTCAGATGCCATCACTGGAAATCTCGCAAAAATCATCACAAAACGTGTCCTTTCATTTTACACATCCATGCATTTTGCTTGTATCCCATATCTCTTTTTGAGATAAAGAACTGGTTTTATGCAGTATTCTATAATGCCGGCAAAAATAGAATGGTATAGAATATGCAGTATCCAAAATCTCTCATAGTACAAACACTGTGCTTCATGTTTGCTCCCATTTACTTCATCATACATTGAAATCATATCTGTCACTTTCTCACGCATGTAATTTATCATGGTATTTGCCGAGTCATTTCAGACGATGTTATAAAGGTAATCATCTGAAGCAGTGAGGATAACCACTGAGCATGTTTGCTTTGGCTACCTTTCTTTTCTTGTAGTTCATTAGGAACTAATCAGCTACTATAGTGAATACATTTTCCCAGAAATTTGCCTACAGTAAATATTGATATTGACATTCAGAAGATGTGCTATTTCTCTAGCAAGACAAAAAAAAAAAAAAAAATTATTTGGATTTGTTGGACATATTTTAACTCTTCTGATACTCTGCTAGGGATATGGTCCTAGATTCCAATCTAAATACTCTTTGTCTAGAGCAGCGGTTCTCAACCTTTCAACTAATGTGTTCCCATCTAAACAAAAATTCAAAACCTCTAGTACTACCACTTAATTTTTGAATTTAATAGTTAAAAATACTTTGTTTCTTTCATACCATCTATTTTTCTCTCTTGCGTACTACCGGTTGAGAACTGGTCTAGAGGAATACTATCACTCATGGTTACAACAGTTTACAAACACTCTGTAATTTCCATCAGAATGCATAAACTGAGCTCTTCCAACTGAGAGTTTTAACAAAATTATGATTTTGACTAAAACATATTACTATTTGATTAAATATATTAAATTTTACTGTAATTGGTTAATTTCTTTTTTTGATTTTCTTATACTTAGACTGAGAAAAATCTAAGCATGAAGGAAAAACTATATTTCATCAAAGAAAGCACAGTGAAAACAAAATTAATAATAATCGCACATACTGTGTGAATGAACTTGTAATGGATGTAAAACAAAATTAAATACAAATATTACTTACAGAAGAATGAAATTTGCGTATCTA